GCTGGCCTGGAAGAGGGGCAACCGGGACAGAATCTGGCACCCCAGCCGGCACTAGAACCTGGTGTGCTGGCACCACAGGCTGAGGATTAGCCTATTGAGCCGCGGCGCCGGCCCCTCAACACTGTTTTATCCCAATTCACTGTCACGTCTTAGTGCTTTTCCTCATAATGCTTTGGCTGCTTGGAACACCTATGCTTTCCTTTTTAATCAGTGGAAATCATTCCCAGCTTTCATTCTCAGCTTTTCTGAGTGGCTCACTTTGGGATTTTGCTCTACCCGTATCATATCAGTTGTATCACTACAGCTTGTTCAAATGCCTGTCTTTGTCATTGGTGAAGGTGGGTGACTTACTTTTGTGGCCCTCATGATACCCATACTCCACTGTACAGGTGGGCACATTGAGAAAATGCTGACAATATCAGAATCATCTATGTTCCTTGTATATGATCTTCCCACACATGAAATACTGTAAGAATTTAAAGGGATATTTAAGTACCTGTACTCACTGAAGTTGTGATTTGTCCAGTGATTCGTAAAGCTTTTATTGCACTATTGAAGTCATATTTTTGAATTTTGACATATTCAATATTTATAATTTTCAGAGTAGCAGTGTCACATTTGGGTGATGTGTTTAGCATTCATTTTGCAGTTCCCAGTTTGACCTGTATGACTTTGTTAGTTATAGAAAGGGAGATGCTTTATGTAAGAAGTGCTCTTTAGCCTGCCAAAAATTCTAATAATTTCATTGGAATCATTTATCGACCACAGTTTCATAAAACAGTTATTTCATCATTTTTGCTGTGAGAATGCTGCACCTAAATCTCATAAAGTTATCATTTAAATTATTAAGGGGTTCAGCAGTTGGTGTTGTACAAAATACTTAGGGCTAACTAGAGTAAGATATGTGTCAAGTCATATGCCTAACATTCCTGATGGATTTCAATATGGGGTATTTTAATTCATAAGAGCTGTGGCAGTAATGTGTAGCACTTAACAAGATTTATTGCACCTCTGTATTCGACATGGAAGCCTGCAGCATGGTGCCACAGATATTGATAGCAACGTTCATCAAATCTATTTCTATTTTAAAATCTAATAGGAAATACATCTTACCATTTAATATCACTGTATCACTTTGACTTAATTGGCTACATTAAGAAACTTGTATCTTCTGTTTATTTTTTAAAAACTAAGCTAAACTCCATGTTTATGGGGAGGACAATTAAAAATGGAACCACATGTGTCTTTTAGAGCATTGTATTTCCCACTTTATTCTGCTATTGTTGACTTTTATCCGGTTAATGTTATTGATGTATTTTCCATATCAGGAAAATATGGTAGGAGGGAAACAACACACTATAGTAAGTAAAACATTAAACATAAGTCAGAACCTTTGACCATTTTTCCCCAGTGCAATTCATATTCTTAAATTGTATTAGAACTGTTTATATGCATGTATATGTCTTTGTGTATACATGCATACATACATATGGGTGTATTTATATATGAAAGTACATGAGATTTTTCATTTGTCTCCAAGAGTGTGCACCTGGGTCGCCACTGCTGCCCTGGAAGCTCTGCCTACAGAGAAGTCGTCTTCCTCTCCTGCTCTTTTGAGATCTGCTCTTCCCACGTGTAGCAGCTGAACGCTGCTGTACAGCAGGTTGTACTCTAGGGTCTGGAGCCATCGCAGTGAACAAGGCATCTGAGACCTGTGCCCACAGAGAGTTTACATTCCATGGAGGGAAAGCAGCAAAGACAAACCAAAATGAGTGAAATAATTATGTATCATTTACCATATGTAAATAGAAAGCCAAGTAAGCAGAGTGGAGATGGCATTTATGCAGACTTGAAAAAGATAGGGAAAAGAGACCACGCGTACGAGGAGGGTAGAATTCCTGATGGAGGAGACAGAGAGGAAAAAATGTGAAGAGCTTGCCAGTAGGTTGAAAGCAGAGCAGAGAACAAGCATGACTAGAGGAGGGATAATGACAGGCACAGTCGTACCAGAAGTGCTATGTGTGGTGAAATATATTTGTTAAGGACCTCTGGGCTCTTACAGTTTTGGGAAAGAAGTTTTAGAGAGCCTATCTCAGGCAGCTTAGTGAAGTTACAGAATGGTAACAAGTGATCGTTCCATCTCAGTGACTTTATGACAAGCATGCATTCCTTACAGTGCACATACACCACTTAGCTCTGCCCCACAAGCATCCCTCTTATATAAAGTCCCAGGGAGAATCCTATGCTACGACATAGCAGTTCCTATGGCAGATGGAACAGGGGCACTATGGCCAACGTGTTGGCTTTGGAAGACTCTCTCCAGAAATGACACAAACACTCTGTGCTACTGTAGTGTTGTCCAGAGCACGCCATGTGATGAAACCCGGAATTAGTGGGCAGGGCAATATGATCATTGTCTCGAGGGGAGCAATGGCTATTTTTGAACATCGACACCATTTACCACAGGGCCATTGGAGAATATGGGGTGCAGAAGTGACACAATCTGACGTGGTGTTTTAAATGATTTCAGTGCTAAGACAAGACTGCTGTAGCAAGAGAAGACCAGAAAGGAAGAGACCAGCTGGCAAATTATTCCAGCAACTCAGGTGAAAGATGATGGCCTTGACTAGGCTGTTAGGAGATGATGATAAGTGGATCAATTCCAGGTACAGATTGAAGGTAGAGACAATAAGACTTACTATTGTGAGAGAGGAGGCTTTGGGAATACTGGAGCAAAGTTGGAGTTTCCAGTAACTTGGATGGGGAAGTCAGTAGGTGGAGGAAGATTTGGGAGAAGAAAATTAGGGACAAAATAAATTGAAGTATTTTTTGTTCACGAAAAAAAGTAGGTGGAAATCATGTATCAGATATTGTAGTCCCTTTTAAGGAAGCTGTCTTAGAACACTAACAAAATAAATGAGTAATTTTCATAAAAAGGCATATATGACTTGATACTTGGAAGGACTTAAAGTACAGCAGGTAAAAAGGCATAAAAAATTTCAACTCACTGGATGTCTTGATGAGTTTACTTAGAGGAAGTTTCCAAAGATAGGTTGGTCTAACAACTCTAGGTGAAAGTAGGGAATTGCAGACTTTAGATTACTGGTTTACCCTGCATAATTTAAGGAGTGGCAAGACTTTTATTGATGTTGAAAGCTTTTCTTGAAAGGGCATGTAGGCCTAAAAAAAGGCCAACCTTTAAAGTGGTGCACAAATTAGGAACAAAAATTTGAGTGTCAAATACAAGAAAATGACATCAAACCTGTCATTCCGTGCCTAATGTTTGTGTAAGCATACTTCCACTTATTCTTTTATCTGAACATCTAGAATCGTGTTCCCAGGATATTTAGTTAGTTAAGGGTCAAAGCACCATCATTTTCTTTGTGTGCAGGATGACTGTAAAATAATAGCTCTATGAATAAAGCATGTGAAATCTATATTTCCTTTCCATTGTGAAACCTCATCTTATTTATAGGGAATTGCTATAGGTGCAATTATGCTAAAAAAGGGTGTTTTAGATTAAGTAAATTGACCACATTGCCTTACTGTCTCCCAGATTTTTATTTCAAAAGTACTTTCTTCTTTGAATGTAACTCCAGTCAGAATGACTCAGTGTGGGTAATTTAGTTGCTCTATAATCATCATATATTTTAGTTTCATTACTGTTCCTGTAAGATAGCAAATATTTCAGTTTAAATCTCTACAAGCTTTGGAAAGTCTTAATTTTTTGCACCTAATGGTTTATGGATATATAATACGTGTCAATATAAAACTACCAGAGAACAAAACCACAATTCATTGATTACCAATTCCTAGTTACCTCTCTCTGCTTGCCATTACTGACTTACTAAGCTTAATTTAACTACTACAATAGATTTATAAGTACGAGTATAGTTTATAAGTAATGAGTATAGATTAGGTCTCTAACTAGCACTCTGTGGATTAAAATGCATATTGAATATATTTAAAGCCTAAAGAAACTATTTGGGGAAAAAAGAGGGGGGGCAGTAGAGGTGGAATCATAGAATTTATATTTGTGGAAAAATCAAAAGAAGAGTCACATGCACTACTCTGGAAGTTGAAATATTGAAATTCTCTTTATGATTTGAGCAATTGTTTTTTGAGATTTTTTTTCCTTTTAATTTAATAAATCAGAAAAATAGATGTTTGGAATGTCTGCTGTACTGTGATTCCTGCCATTCAAGACAAATCATTTAGTGCTTTCTATTGCTATCTAAGAGGACAGAGAGTTATATTGATGAGCTATAGTTTTAAAGAACTATTTTATTTATTTGAAAAGCAGAGTTTCAGAGAAAGACAGGGAGAGAGGTCTTCCATCTGCTGGTTCACTCCCTAATTGGCCACAACAACCTGGGCTGGGCCAGGCCAAATTGAGGAGCCAAGAGCTTCTTCCAGGTCTCCCATGTGGCTGCAGGGTCCCGAGCATTTGGGGCATCTGATTTCCCAGGTGCATTAGCAGGAAGCTGGACCGGAAGTGGAGCAATTGGGACTTTTTACTCGCTAAATCATAGTCCCGGCCCCTGTTGTGCTACATTGTGTAGGAAACGAATGACAAGAAAAAAGTGTATACATAGTCAATGCAGATGCAATTACAAAAAGCAACATTAATCAAAAAAATTATTTTCCCATTCCTGGTGGGTTGAACTGATGGATCTGAAGCCAAAGGACACAAGGGGCCGAGTCTATGTGTGAGTGCACTAATCATCACCATTGTCATGACTTCTGCTTCTTTGCTGAACACTTATGAAAATAATTCACAGCATATTCTATAATATATATCAAAAAGCACTTGGATTGGTTGTTTGGAAACTTTAATTGTCCGTAAATGTAAAAGGATGCCAGAATTTAGCCCTAGTTATTAATGAAAGTCTGGGCAAGTCAGACTTCATAGCTCACCACAATTACTCATAAAGTCTCCCTACACTGGACCCCATCCAACATCACTCTCTCCTCCATCCCCACCTTCTGCTGCGTTCCAGGTGCTGTTCCTATGTGGGGCGAAGGGGAAATGGACCTCAGGCAATCTCCATTGGCAAGAACTGTGATAAATTTGGAATTGTTGTTCACGAGTTGGGTCATGTGATAGGCTTTTGGCACGAGCACACGCGGCCAGATCGAGATAACCATGTAACCATCATAAGAGAAAACATCCAGCCAGGTGAGAGACTTTCCAGGGTGTGTGTGGTTTAAGTCTGCGTAGATAGCATTGAATTATAGTTATGCCGTTCACCATTGCACATCTCATAAGAGTGGAATTCTTGTTTTAAACTTGGTAGAAGCCACATTTCACTTGTTTAAAAATTACCTGTATTGTTTTCATACTTTTGCTCTTTTCCCTAGAGACTAAATCATCTCATGCATTTTTTTAGACTTTTTTTTTCTGTTTCTTGCTTAAGATGTACCTCTATCATTTCTAAACTTCAGTGTTTTCAAGATTGGGTGTGAAATATTGAACCATAAATTCATATTAATTTTTAATTTAAGCAGTTTTTGTACTTAGTTCTATCATTTAAAGCGTGGGGACTTATAAAAGGGCCGGGGGTTGCCATTAAATGTGCTGCTACTGTAGGAATTTTCATTTTATCAGGTATAATTTCTGGAGAAAAATCCAGTGTAAATGAGTCATTTCCAAGATAGTCTAGATGGTGTATTTGAGGTTTTCCTCTTAAATGACTGCCCTAGATTCAAATTCTTTGAGACTGTTTTTAATAGTTGAAATGAAATTTATGATTAATCCAGTATTCTCTAACAATGGTGTGTGATAATAACCTCCCTAGAGAGCTTCGGATTGGTTTAACTTTACCTTTCATAAGATGGGTGCATTTCAGTTGCCCCCAAAAATAAAATTTCCCATTGTGAATGGTTTTCTCATGATATGCGTGACTTGCCTAAGCAAAATGAATTCTTAGCTTCCTTATTCATGTCCACTTGTAATTTACAAACACACTGAATTCCTTCGAATTGTCTTCCGTTAACAGCATTGATCTTTCTATTTGCTTATTGAGTATTGGATGCCAGCTGTTTGTGGAGGTGCTGTTTGGGATTGGAGATGGTGTCTAAGGTGTAGGCATGGAGGCAGATGACCGGGAGTGAGTGAGAAAAACTAACAAGAGGCTTAGTTGAGATTAATGTGTCGTCCAGCAACATGTGAAAAACCTGCATCTTGGCACCATCCAGAGAGATGCCACAGAATGGCTGAGATTTATAGGTCAAGTAGAAAATGTCCAAGTTGAATAGAAGAGTGAGGAGATATCCAGGCTGAAGGACACGAGCATCAAAGCTACAGTTATGGAAAATCAACCCTTTCCTCCTGTCTAGTCGGCTGCATGGGAAGTCAAGTGGAGTGTTTAGTTGGTAACGCACTGAGGTTGGGGTGGGTGATCCAGAGAGCACCCTCTGAGTACTGACGAGGACTGAAGGTCGTATAGGGAGCACGTTCAGAATAAACAGCAGAACTCTGTTGGCTGGAGGAAGCATTATGGGGCTGGTGAGGGTGAAGTCGGGGAAACCTGTGAGAAGCCTTAGTCGCGTGGGGGAGGTGGATGCCCTTTGTGTTCTAGTACAGGGCAAGATGAGCGAGAGGAACCCTACTTCAGAAATATTTAAGAGGAACAACATCCGCGTGAGGGAAATCTTCGGAAGTTCGTTCTTAGGGCCCCAAGAAGAAGGGTGAAACTATCAGATGAAACAAGAAATACTGATAGAGCAGCATGTTTTTGAAGAAGAGAAAAACAAACAGTGATTTCATTTAGCATTTTTTTTTTTTAATTTGAGAAGCCCTTGGATGATGATGGTTTAGGTAGACAAAGAGAAGGTGAATGAGGACCTCGCAGGTGTCTAGCAATACAAATGTGGTCGGGAGTTCCTATTTGAGGACGGATACTGGAATGAGAAGAAAGAAATTGAGGGGCCAGCGCTGGGTGTAGTGGGTAAAGCTGCTGCCTGCAGTGCCGGCATCCCATATGGGCACTGGTTCAAGTCCCAGCTGCTCCACTTCCAATCCGCTCTCTGCTATGCCTGCGAAAGCAGTAGAAGATGGACTAAGAGCCTGGGCCTTACACCCGTGTGGGGACCCTGAAGAAGCTCCTGGCTCCTGGCTTCGGATCAAGGCCCAGTTCGGGGCCTTTGTGGCCATTTGGGGAGTAAACCAGCAGCTGGAAGACCTCTCTGTCTGTCTGTCTGTCTGTCTCTCTCTCTCTCCGCTCTTGTCTCCGCCTCTCTGTAACTGACTTTCAAGCAAAACAATTCATCTTTTAAAAGAAATTGAGGATACAAATAGAGAACAATGGTATTTAAGCAGAATTTGGAGAATTTGGTGGACTATTTACCAAAAGGGTAAGAATGTTATCTCAAAAAATAAGAGAGACAGAGATAGAGGGAGGAAGGAAGTGTTTACTGTATTATCAGAAGTGTGTCGTGAACTACATGAGCCCATTCTCTTTAGTGTCACATTAAAACCGAGAATTGGGGGAGTAGAAAGAAAGTGAGAGAAAACTCAGTGGAATATGATAGCCGTTGCAAAGGGCGAATCCTTTCAGAACGGTGGAAGTAACCTGCAGAATTGGGTATGGAAGGTAAGTAAGAAAAAAGAATGAGACTCCTTAGCTGAGAATCTGACGCCTGAGCCAAACAGCCAGGTTCATCTTATATTTTTCAATCATTAAGAAGGACGTAAAGAGGAAACAGTATTTTTGGAAAATTGTCTCAGCTACCAAGTCAATGAGAAGTTTGTTGTTAAGCAGGTGTTAGTTTTCCTGTATTGGCCAAACATTTTGTTATATTGACAAAAAAAAAAAAAAAGCTCATAATGAATGCAACTTCCAAAAATGGTTCTTACACTTAAATAGAATTTTGATTCAATATAAATATGTATCCAATAGAGGAAGAGATGTACATGGTACTATCAGAGTGTCCCATTGAAGGATGTTTACTGGGGCCTGTGTTGTGGTGTAGTGGTAAAGGTGCCAGCAGTGCCAGCATCCCATATGGGTGCTGGATTGAGTCCCGGCTTCTCCACTTCCAATCCAGCTCCCTGCTAATGTGCCTGGAAAAACAGTGGAAGACAGCCCAGGTCCTTGGGCCCCGGCCCCCTGTGGGATACCCAGATACCCAGAAAAAGCTCCTGTCTCCTGGTCTAGCGCTGACTGTTGCAGCCAGTTATAGAGTTGAACCAGTAAATGAAAGACCTTTCTTTGCTTCTCTCTCTCTTTATCTATCTCTGTAACTCTGCCTTTCAAATAAATAAATAAATCTTAAGAAAAAAAAGATAGGTTTCTTCTGGTGCCCAAATGTTACATCTATGCATAGTTCTTGTATAACATGCATTCTTCATGAAGTTATTTTGAAGATCCCTCATGTACATGGATTTCAGTTTTTGGTACCAAAATAAACACATATTTCAATTCTATTTTCTATGAACTTTTTGAAGTACCCTAGTATAAGTAGTATAAATAAATTTATAATCTTAACACAATGCTAGAAAAATGATGACTCTTACTAGGTTTTTGACTAAACATTCTGGCTAACAGACAAAAAAAAATTACTGTGTGAGATTTCCTGTAATGGGAACCATGATCAGCAATTCCAGTATAAAAGCGTTCATGTTGGAGACTGATCTTCAACAAATTTATGACTTGCTGTACTCAGAACTTAAAATCAAATGTTATTCAAGTAGAGTATCCAATAGCAAAAACTTTGGCTTCAAATTTATATGCACAAGAGATGACTATGAGAGTACTAAATTGGTATGATAATTAGATTATTTTAATTTGCATCAGAATGTGCATATAAAGAGGGATGTCTTTAAAATTTTTGAATTATTAAGTATAGTTTTCCATGTTGCTCTGTATCTCTGACTTTCCTCCTTTCCTTCATGACGTAGGTCTAAGTTTCTCTTATTTGGACTGTGTAGGCCCATGTCCTTTTAACTAGCAGGAAAAAAAGCCTCATGTACGTGTTAAGTGCTCAGTTATGGGCTTGGAATGTGCAACTATTGCTATAGTTACTGAATGTTCTACTTGTCAAAAAGTTTGTGAAGCATTTCTTGTTGATCAGAGAGCCTTTTTCCATATTGTGCTCTATACTGAAATCTTGAAAGTTTATAATTATAAAATCAGATCCACAGCGCTTTAAAATTTCCACCTTATAATTGGATATGTTAAAAAAAAAGGTTCAAATTCTATGGAGATCACAGTTGTAACAATTGGTTCCTCTCAGGGTTGGGGCGAGAGCAGCGTATCCCTAAGAATGGTTTTAACACACGAAGACATATCAGAGGTTTGAGGAGCACACATTTCAGTTTACAGGCTGGCTGGTGAAGTCAAGAATCCATTTACCATGTGAAATTATTCAGATATGTTTAAAATACATTACACTGAGAGGCAGGCTCTGTAACTACAGCTTGAGTCTCTAACCTTTAGTGTTCAAATGCATGTTCCCAGGCTTCCCTATCACAGGAGGAGAGACCTTGTATTCTAGGACATCACTCCATTTCTTTAGTACCTTTTGGAAAACTATTAATGTGATATTATTTAATACAAAATATTGAAGTTAGAATGCTCAATCAAATGAGCCGATGTAAACAGTCCCCTTTTGAGATCCAGGCATGAATTTGGAATTCCAATAGTTCACTTTTATACTTTCTCAAAGCTCTTAGGTTACATAAATAGTATGTCATGCACCATCTTTTGCTGTTTATTTTTATTTTTTAAATACATATTTCTAGCTCTAAAGTCATATTGATTTTTTAAAAATATTTATTTATTTATTTATTTGAAAGGCAGAGTTACAGAGAGAGAGAGAGAGCGAGAGAGAGGGAGAGGGAGAGAGAGGTGTTCAGTCCACTGGGTCACTTCCCAGATGGCCACAGCAGACAGAGCTGGGCTGATCTGAAGCCAGGGAGCAGGAGCTTCTTCCAGGTCTCCCACGTGGGTGCAGGGGCCCAAGGACCTGAGCCATCCTTTACTGCTTTCCCAGGCCATAGCAGAGAGCTGGATCACAAGTGGAGTAGCCGAGACTCAAACTGGAGTCCATTTGAAATGCCAGTACAGCAGGCGGCGGCTTTACCCACTATGCCACAGCATCAGCTCCTTTGGCTGTTGAAACTGCAGAAATTGAGTCATTGAAATCTGAAGTCAACAAGAAGCAATTCTTTGTTCTAGAACCATCAATGTAGATTCATATATTTATCTCTCTTTTTTTTTTTTCAGTTTTCAAGAAATAATACTGCTTGGCAGATACAAACAGGCAGTTGAAAAAAATCTGTTAAAAATGAAGTTAAAATAACATGTGAAAAGTAAAACAAAAACTCCCTTAGTTCTTATTCGTATTCTTTTTTTATATATAAAGATTTACTTATTTACTTGAAAGTGAGAGTTACACAGAGAGAGACGGAGAAGCAGAGAGAGAAGTCTTTTTTTTTTTTTTTTTTGACAGAGTTATAGATAGTGAGAGAGAGAGACAGAGAGAAAGGTCTTCCTTCCATTGGTTAACCCCCCCCAAATGACCGCTACGGCCAGCACTGCATTGATCCGAAGCCAGGAGCCAGGTGCTTCTTCCTGGTCTCCCATGGGGTGCAGGGGCCCAAGCACTTGGGCCATCCTCCACTGCCTTCCCGGCCACAGCAGAGAGCTGGACTGGAAGAGGAGCAACCGGACGAATCCCGCACCCAAATGGGATGCTTATGCCGCAGACGGGAGGATTAGCCTAGTGAGCCACACACCAGCCCCCAAGAGAAGTCTTCCATCCACTAGTTCACTCCCAAACTGGCTGCAATGGCCAGAGCTGTGCCGATCTGAAGCCAGGAGCCAGGAGCTTCTTCCAGGTCTCCCACGCGAGTACAGGGGCCCAGGCACTTGGGCCATCTTCTACTGCTTTTCCCAGGCCACCACAGAGAGAGCTGGATTGGGAGAAGAGCAGCCAGGACTCGAACCAGCACCCATATAGAATGCCAGCACTTAAGGCAGCGGCTTTACCTGCTACACCACAGCGACAGTCCCCTGTCATATTCTTCTGGATCAAAAAAGTCTTTCCAAATAGAAATGTCTTTTCATAAAAGAGAGCCTTGTTTCATTTTTGAATGAAAGTAGATTTCCGGTTGTTTTATCTTTAATGTTGAAGTCACATTGCTAAACCAAGCAGTTAGTCTAATATATACTAATATTGTTCCTACACCTTTTCACAGTGTTTCATAGAAAGGATCTAAAATTCCAAAGCAAGAAGAAGATAATTTTTATGGGCCCTGGCAAGTACAGTCATAAGAGAAAAGTGACAAATTCATTGGATAAAAATCCAACTCTTATTATGATTTGTACAGTATCTCAAAAAGCAGCAAGATTTAAAGAAATGAATATTGTGAGGTAGTAAAAGAGCATACGTCAAAAACATACAAAGTTTGGTTTTGTCAGTGTTTTTGCCGAGATAAAGTCATTAACCCATTCTTTCAGTAGGAGCTCGAGTGAAAACCTCTGCCCTTGGCACATGCGCCCGGCTGAGAGTGTAAGTGGAGCCAGCAAGGAGACGGGTCATTTAATGAAGAGCAGATGCGAGTCGAGGGAGGGCTGTGGTACTCTCCCCTCTTCCAGGCTTCTGAGATTCTGTTTGTCCCTGATCCTTAGGTCAAGAGTACAATTTTCTGAAGATGGAACCCGGGGAAGTGAACTCACTTGGGGAAAGATACGACTTTGACAGCATCATGCACTATGCCAGGAACACCTTCTCAAGGTTGGACTCTCAGGTTATACCTTTTGACTTTTAATTCCTTCCCTCCATGTAGCTCCTCTCAAAGCTATGTTTCACATTAGAATGAGAATACCTTTCAAATGTTGCTGCTCTATGGCAGAAATAAACCAAGCAAAATAAGTAAAAAATCATGGTGAAGAATATAGCCAACAACAGACATTTTAATGACGTATTAAAACACATTTTTGCCTTTCCTATCAAATATATACAATTTGAAGTGATAGGATATTATCAAGGATTTAAAGTATATTTTAATTATTTAAAAAATGTCAATTAAAATCATGACCAAACCAGTCCGTGTATTAAACTGCCAAAGTGTAGTGTAGTGAAAAGTCAAATGGTTTACTTGGTTGCTGCGTTGGAATGTCACACTCTGCATGCAACTCCGGTTGGATACTGTGCATTTTCAGTGGCTCGAGTACCACCAATGCTCAAGAAAGACTATTACTCAATGAATTCTAAGACAACAAGTTAAGAGATATTTTCTTCATATAGTGTTCAGTTATCGTTCATTAATTATTAACCTTAGGATTCTTTCATTAACTGAATACTCTTTTTAAAGAGTGAAATAAACTTGGGTTTTGATCCACTTCATTCTAAAGATGATGGCATCCAGGAAATAGTTGCCAGGTAAGGAATTCGGAGCTGTAAAACCACTGAACTCACCCATTCCCTTGGCACACTCAGGCTCATTTTACCCTCCTACATCCATTTCTATTCACTCTTTTGCCCAGTTACATCCATCTCACAGTTCATTAACAACTGTTTATGAAGGCAGGCTCAGGAAGGAAAGAAAACGTCAAATGTGTTCAATAAAAGATTTTTGGCAAAAAGGAGAGAAGGATGTGTTAATGAGCCCTTTGTACTTGGACGCATTTTAGAATCATTCTTTTATAAAAACCCAAACTTTGAAAAAAAAAAAAAAAAAAGCGAGGGTTGACTGTGCAGTGTATGTTGAAAACTTCATGGAAACTGGAATTAAAAGATAAGTTTGTTTTGTTGTAAGGACATTTTAAAATTCATATATAGTTTTTTCACAATATGCATTTTCCGTGAACTTTATGAAACCCTTTCATTTTGAAAACCATTCTCCTCTGAAGTACATGTTTCACATATATATATACACATAAATATGTATGTATATGTATATATGCATGTGCATGCATATATAATATATGCATGTATATATATCTTTGTTAAAATATAATAACTATCCCCATGCTTATTGTTCCTGGAATTTGAATTTAGGATTTGGTAAAAATGACAGTCAGAAATTTAGCCTGCAATTATTCTTAAAGAATAATAAAATTTTAGTTTCAGACCAATGTTTGGAAGGGAGTTTTCTATAGAGATGTGAAAGAAATGAACATTTGGTCCAAGTTTAGACAAGGCTGCTCTCTCATGCTGCTGAATTCAGTTACTTAGAATTAACCTGAGGTTTGATGATTTGGAAGACAGGAAGTAGCAAAGAGTGCAGAAAATAATGAACGCTTCCTGTTCTTCAGAAATGCTGAGTCTTTCCTGAACTTGGAACTTGTCCCTTTGGTATGTCCTGCTTTGCCTTTCCGCCTGGCTGTTTTCTCCATATACCACTCTTCTCATGCTGCCTGCTGCTGTCTCCTCCATCATCTGCCTTTGTGTTGTGTGCCAACCAGCTTTGACTTTTTTTTTTAAGATTTATTTATTTATTTGCAAGTCAGAGTTACACAGAGGAGAGGCAGAGAGAGAGAGAGAGAATTGGTCTTCCATATGCTGGTTCACTCCCCAATTGGCTGCAATGGCTGGAGCTGGGCCAATCAAAGCCAGGAGCCAGGAGCTTCTTCCAGGTCCTCATGTGGGTGCAGGGGCCCAAGGACTTGGGTCATCCTCCACTGCCTTCCCAGGCCATAGCAGAGAGCTGGATCGCAAGTGGAGCAGCCGGGACTTGAACTGGCACCCATATGGGATGCTGGCACTTCGGGGCAGGGTGTTGACCCACTGTGCCGCAGCACTGGCCCCCAGTCTTCGATCATATTGATTCAAAGTTATGCTACTCATTTTTCATAAATAAACAGATTTCTATAGGTCAAAAGACCTTATAGTAGGAAAGATAATATCTGATTGATCCTCACTCATATTATTTTATAAACTTGAGTCTTTAAAGTGGGTGTTTGGGGACCAGCGCTGTGACGTTGTAGGCTAAGCCTCCACCTGCAGTGCTGACATCCCACATGGGCACCAGTTGGGTCCTGGCTGCTCCATTTCTGATCCAGCTTTTTGCTAATGGCCTGGGAAAGCAGTGGAAGATGGCCCACATGCTTGGGCCCCTACACCCACATGGGAGACTCGGAAGAAGCTCCTGGCTCCTGGCTTCAGATCAGCCTAGCTCCGGCCATTGCAGCCATTTGAGGCATGACCCAATGGACGGAAGATTTCTCTCTCTCTGTCACTCCCTTTCTCTCTATGTAACTCTGCCTCTCAATTCAATAAATAAATCTTCCAAAAAGAGAGGCTGCTTATTGACATATGTAATTGATTTCAGGTAATGAAGCATTTGTCACAGTCCTCAGTCCTTCCTCCACATAATAAAACCTTATGATTTTAAACCTTTAAAAATATTTATTTATTTGTAAGGCAGAAAGAAAAAGAGGGAAAAAAAAATCCTTCCACTGGTCACTGCCCCAGGGCTGGAATTGGCCTGGGAGTGAAACCGGACACTTGTCAATCCAGGTCTGTGGGGGTGGCAGAAACTCCGTTCCTAGAGCCATCACCACTGCCTACCAGGATCTGCTTTAGCAAAAAGCCTAAGTCAGAAACCAGACCTGGAAATCAAATCAGTCACTCTGATGTGGGAGGTAGGCACCTTAACCACTAGACAAACACCAGCTCCTCCTTGGCCATTTTTACGTATAGAGTTTAAAGTGTTAAGTATATTCACAGTTGTGAAACATTTCTAGAACACTTTCGTCTGCAAACTTGAAACCCTGGTACTCATTAAACAGCAACTTCCCATTCTCTCTCTCCAGCACCTGGCAATCACCAGTCTGCTTTTTGCTTCTGTGGACTTCATTACCTTAGATACCTTGTATAATTGGAACTATACAGAGTGTGTCCTTTTGTGACTTGCTTATTTCCCTTAGCATTATTTCCTCTAAGTTCATCCATACTGTAGCATACGACAAGATTTTCCTCTATAATAATGATGACTAATACTTGATTGTATAATCACATTTTATGTAAGCCTTTGTCCATCAACAGACATTTGAGTTGTTACCACTCGTTGACAACTGTGAATAGTGCTGCTGTGAGACATGTGTGTGTAACTATTCCTCAGAGATCCTTCTCTCTATTCTTCAGCACTATCTAAGCTGACATGAGATGCTGGTTCATGTAGTAGTTCTTATTTGAAAGGCAGAGAGAGAGAGAGAGAGAGAGAGAGAACAAGTGCTCTATCTTGCAACCACTGGTTCATTTCCTAGGTGGCTGCAGAGGCCAGAGCTGGTCCAGGCCAAAACCAGGAGCCTAGAACTCCATCCAGGTCTCCCACATGGGTTCAGGGGCCGGAGGACTTAGGCTGTCTTTTGCTGCTCTCCCAAGCGCATCAATAGGCAGCTGAATTTGAAGTGAGGCCACCAGGATCCGAACTGACACCCATATGGGATATTGGCATCGCAGGCAGTGGCTTAACCCACTGTGCACATTGCTGACCCCAGTGGCATTTCTACTTTTAATTCTTCAGGAACTTGCACACTTTTCTCATGGTGGTTGCACCATTTAACATCCTGCTAACAGTTTATAAGTTCTAGCATTCTCTATGTCCTCACCAACACTTGTTTTCCTTTGTTTTGATAATTTCCATCACAAGATTTATTTATTCATTTGAAAGTCAGAATGACCGGAGAGAGTGAGAGACAGAGAAGAGAGAGATATTATATCTGTAAGTTCAGTCCTCAAGTGACCGAAACAGCAAGAGGTTGGCCAGGCAGATGCAAGGGCCTAAGAAAGACATCTGGATTTCCCATGTAGGTGGCGGGAACCCAAGTACTTGGGCTATCATCTTCTGCTTTCCAGGTGCACTAGCAGGGGGCTGGATTGGAAGCAGAGTAGCTGGGACTTGAACCAGGCATTCCAAGTGGCGACTTAGCTTCCCATGCCATAATGACTACCCCACATTTTGGTTTAGATTGACATTTTTGTGATCATTGATGGGCATCGTGTATTGATTAGCTGATGCGTGGCGGTCACTTGTAAGTCATTTTTGGAGAAATGATTACTCAAGTCCTTTGCCCAGTTGTTACTCAGGCTACTTGATTTGTTGTTGAGCTGTAAGAGTTCTTTGTGTATTCTGGCTCTTAACCACTTAATCTGATATATGATTTGCAAATATTTTCTGCCATTCCGCAGGTAACCTTTTCACTCTGGCGATTTTGTCCTATATGACCAAAATCTGTTAAGTTTGATTTCATCATGTGTGGCTCTCTTTTTAAATATACTGTTGCCTTTTGATGTCATATCCAATAAATCATGACAGCCATGAAGTTTCCCCTTATTTTTCCTTCTGGGAATTTATAGTTCAGGGTCTTATGTTTAGATCTGTAGTTGACTTTGAGTTAATACTTTTACGTAGTGTAATGGTGCAAATTAATTTTTTCTTCTTCTTTTTTTTTTGGCTGTGGATGTTCAGTTTTTTTTTATCATCATTTGTAGAAAAGTCTGCCTTTTGGAATCCTTCTTGAAGAGAATTTGATTATATACATTAGTTTTTTTTGGGGGGGGGTTCTCTACTTTATTTCATTGGTCTAGAGGTTTATCTTTATGCCAGTGCCATAATATGTTGATTACTATAGCTTTGTAATATATTTTTGCTGGGGCTCTGGCATCCCATATAGGCACTGGTTTGTGTCCCAACCACACCTCTTCCGATCCAGCTCTCTGCTAATGGCTTGGGAGAGCAGTGGAAGATGGCCCAAGTGCTCAGCCACATGGAGGACCCAGAAGAAGCTGCTGGCTCCTGGTTTCAGATAGGCCCAGCTCTTGCCATTGCAGCCATGTGGGGAGTAAACCAACAGATGGAAGATCTCTCTGTCTCTCCCTCTCTCTGTCTGAAGCTCTACCTCAAATAAAATAATACAAAAAGACAACGTTGGAATTTTGATAGGGATTGTATTGAATCTATAGTTTTATTTGAGTAATAATAAGAGCTTACTATTTAATTTTAGATCCAGGATCACAGGACCTTTCCATTTATTTATCTCTTTACTTTCTTTCAGCAATGTTGTTTTAGTTTTCACTGTCCAAGTCTTTTGTTTCTTTGGTTGGGTTTACTTCTAAGTATTTGTACAATTTTTTGTCTTGATTTCCTTTATGGGTAACTCACTGTTGGTGTGTAGAAAGACAACTGGTTTTGTGTTTTGATTTTGCTAAATTCATTTATTAGTTCTAACAGTTTCTTGTGGAGCATTTAGGGTGTTCTGTGTAAGACCATATCATCTGCAGGTAGAGGTAATGCCTCCTACTTCCTTAATTTTAATTCTTCTTCTTCCTCTTCTTCTCCTCCTCCTCCTCCTTCTCCTTAGTCTTCCTCTTCTTCTTCTTCTCTTCCTCCTCCTCCTCCTTAGTCCTCCTCTTCTTCCTTTTTCTCTACTTCCTTCCCCTCTCTCTCACCTTCTTGTTCCCCCTCCTCCTCCTGTCTTCTACCTTCTTTCCTAATTACTGTGGTCACAACATCCAGTACCAGGTTAAACAGAAGGGCTGAGAACAGGCATCCTTTCACTGTTGCTGCTCTTAGAGGAAAAGCTTTGTTTTTCACCACTGAATATGATGATAACCGTGGACTTTTCTTTTTTTTTTTAATAAGATTTATTTATTTATTTGAAAGTCAGAGTTACACAGAGAGAGAAGGAGAGGTAGACGTCTTCCCTCTGCTGGTTCACTCCCCAGTTGGCTGTAATGGCCAGAGCTGCGCCAATCTGAAGCCAGGAGCCAGGAACTTCTTCCCGGTCTCCCACGTGGGTGTAGGGGCCCAAGGACTTGGGCCATCTTCTACTACTTTCCCAGGCCACAGCAGAGAGCTGGATCAGAAGTGGAGCAGCCAGGACTCGAACTGGCGCCCACATGGGATGCTGGCAGGGAAGGCATTACCTGCTAAGCCACAGTGCCGGCCTCAGTTGTGGGCTTTTCATTTGTGACCTTTATTATGTTGAGGTAGTTTCTTTCACGTTCTGGTTTGTTGACTATTAATCAGGGAAGCGTCTTGAATCTTGTCAAATGCTTTCTCTACAGTAGTGAGAGGTTTTATAGTTCTTCTGTTCTGAACTCATGGAGTCTACAATGTTCCAGTTGTTTCTGTGAGTGTAACCCATGGAATAGGTTTAGGAAATCATGGTGAGAAGTCTTGGCCTATGAGGCCTTCAAATGCATAGATATTCTGTAAGGTAAATTCATGCAAACTGATAACTTTTTCATTAAAACAAAGAAAAGTTGTAAAATTTTACAAAGTTTCTTAAAAGAATAGCTCATTTGCCATTTTTACACAATTAAAATAAATGAAGAATGGCTATTAGAAAGGAACCTCAGTATGATTTGCCTCTGGCCTATTGATAACACCTCCCTTGCTCAATGGCCAGGTCTTAGACAAACAGAATTGTTAACTTCCTGACCATAAAGAAAGTAAAAGAATGGGTGATTGGTCCCCTTTAGAATGTAAGAAAGGATACCTCAGTATATAGAATAAGTCAAAATTCATTATTCTACTGGCCAAGGTAGCATATATCCACTCCAAAATGTCATTAACTTTTTTTTAAATATTGAATCTCCTGAAAGCTTAAAAAGTGAAACTCGTCAAAGAGTGCCCATTTATTTTTGAAAATAGAAAATAGTCAATACTTTGCTTAGTACTGGAGGACTGCAGAAATTGTAACACTCCATCAATTTCCGTTTTCCTACTTAATGTTTCTGTTGATTCATGCGGTGCCATTGAGAGATGGCTTTTCTCAATGCTACCTTATAACTCAGCTTCCCTTTCCAATTACACGAGGCCTCCCGAAGTTGCATCTTAGTAGATATATGCGAGCTCTTGCTTTTGATGGTCAGTTCCCATAAATCATTAGTCTCTACTTGTCTGCCCTTGTCTTGGGCAGTATATAGATGGAGTTCTATAAGTGCTTAGATCTGGCTTTAAAGAGTTGCCGCCTTGGGATTTGAGATGGCCAGGTTGTACATCACCACTCCTTTGCTTACCTAAAAGCTATAAGTCATAAGTTAACCATGTCATTCTGTTTGCCATCTTCCTATAAATTAGTAGTTGTTGTCCTCCTGGTAAACACATTATCTAGCTGGTGCTCAAACATTTCAGAAGTCCTTGCATCTCTAAATGGTTCTTTCTGGGGACTCTCTACTGGTAGGTAGCCGTAAGACTTGCTGTGCAGCCGATACCCACCTTCTGTCCTTTATTTTTTCCACAGTGCTGATCTGATCACTACCCAAGTTATTGGTCTTTCATTTTAATGTCTTTCTCCCCACATTAGGATATTAAAATCAGAAAGAGTAGTATTTTTGTTAGTCTGTTTACTGCTATAAATCCAAACCTAGAACAGTGCTGAACGAGTGTTTCCTAAAGGAGAGGACTAAGCAGAGCTTAAAGTGTTATTCTTTAACCTGCAGTATAAATGTGTGATATTGTAAATATTGAAAAGGCATGTCCCATCACTCATCTCCATTTAAAAGATATCTTACGCGATGGGCATTTCTTCTGGATGTTAAGATACCCGTTATGATGCTACGTCCCACATCAAAGAATCTGGGTTCACTTTCGAGGTCAGAGTCTGATTCCAGCTTCCAAATTATTTGCACTTTGAGAGGCAGCAGTGGTAGCCAAATTGATTTGATTGCTGTAACTCACATGGGAGACTTAAGTTGGTTTTCTAGCTCCCAGTTCCAGCCCCCAAGTTTCAGGCATTTGAGGATTGAACCTGAGGATGAGAACTTTCTTTGTCTTTCTCTTTGTCTCTTTGCCTCTCAGAAAAATAAATGAGAATTTTTTTTTAAAAAAAGACATCTTACAAGGTCATTTCTGTTTTTTTTTTTAAGATTATATTTATTTATTTGAGAGGTAGAGTTATAGACAGAGAGAGGGAGAGAGAAAAGACAGAGAGAAAAGTCTTCCATCTGCTGGTTCACTCCCCAAGTGGTCACAATGGCCAGAGCTGGGCCAATCCAAAGCCAGGAGCCAGGAGTTTCTTCCGATCTCTCATGTGGGTGCAGGGACCCAAAGACTTGGGCCATCCTCCACTGCTTTCTCAGGCCATTAGCAGAGAACTGGATTGGAACAGTAACACTGGGACACGTACCAGTGCCCATATGGGTGCCCATTGCAGGCATTGGTGCTAAGGTTATTTCTTAATTTAAAATATCTTTGTGGAAAATTTCCTTCTTTATTTTCTGAAAAACAATTTTTGTTTTTTAAAAATCCACACAGGCAAACTCCCTCCTTCTCAACCTGTTGTAATAGTTTCACAGTTCATTATATTTTTAACCTAGGCACTTCCTTTATAGTTAAAAATGTTTGATACATATTGCAAAATTAGAATGTATCTTTAGTGTACTATATTAAGAATTTTAACTCATACATAGTAGGAAAAGTAGTAATTCTTCTACTAAAACTTTGAGTCAAAAGCAACTCAATATCTATAGCTTAGAATCAATGGGGCACTGATTAGGATTTTTTGCTAAGCAATTTTGCCATGAAACATTGAAAATGATACATAATACTTTTGTTTTGCACTGTTCTGTCTACATTTTGACATTGTTTTTCCTTCTTTTTTAACATACGTTATAGCATTTAGACTTGTAAGAAATCTTAAATGCTTAGATAGTTAAATTAGAATTTAATTCGAAGAATATTAAGGTGTATTTTGTTTGACTCTTTGAATTTTAGTAATTGCAGAAGTCTTTATTGTATATATATCATGAGGAAGAATTGTTTTACAATCTGACAATCTAAGGGATTCTTAGATCTGTTTGGGAGACAAAAACAGAGCCATGGTGTACTTGGTGGGAGACTATAAACTATTCCATGTATTTTAAAAACACATAATACAGTTTTCTAAGGAACACGTGGATGTCATCATTGATTTTATGCTACACACACATGATGCTGGTGTTTTGAAAGTTTGACACACTGCCTAGAGCTCACTCCGGTGTATTTTCCATTTGATTGACTTGAGTTTAAAAAGCAACCGTATATTGGTAAGCAAGATATGTGCTTTGATTTGGTGACGTAGGGGTGGTTCGTTTCTTTTCTCTTTCAGGGGGATGTTTCTGGATACGATTCTCCCCTCCCGCGATGATAATGGCATACGTCCCGCCATCGGTCAACGCACGCGTTTAAGTAAAGGAGATATTGCACAGGCAAGAAAGCTGTATCGATGTCCAGGTATTGCTCTCTGCAAACACAGGCACGTGGCTGAGCTGGGCTGTGCTGGGCTGTGCTGGGCTGTGCTCTTGCTGATGGACAAGCCATGGTTTACCCGGCTGTTTACTTGTCTCTCTCCTTGCTGACAAGTGACATGCAAAGTTCCAAGCAATCATGGGATGAGCGAGGAGGGAACTCTGGGATACTCATCGCTACAAATCAAAACAAGCTGTTAGAATTCAGATTTCAAGAGCTGGGGCAATACGCATTGTTTTCTTTTAATTTCATGAGTAAAAGAGCAAAATAGAATGGTTATTTGATAGTTACTAAGGAGTTGCATGATTTTCTAATCAAGTGCTGAGTTTCCTTGCCAATAGAGAAAGAATATCCTTTATTTGAACTGCAAAATTGGTTCCTGAATGACCTTTTCTTTCAAGTCCCTTCCTTAATGGTATATACATGAAAATTTTGGCAGTAGGTATTTATAACCCTGCTCAAAAAAAAAAAAAAAAAAGTTCTCACGAAGTTACTGGTGAGCCACTGTGTATTTTGCTACTGAATGAAGTTTTGAAGAAGGGATGAATGAAAGAGTCTTGGTGATTGTTTGCAGCCTTGTTGCTTCCGTTGAGGAAGCGTGTATTGTTTTGTTTTTGTTTTCCTCTTCATACTATTTGTTGAACTCTTTTACTTAGTGTAGGGTTAGCTATATAATCACCAAGTAAACTGAAAGTAAATCTTTGTAAAAATTAAGAGTGGGAATGTGAGAGGGAGGAGGAAGGGTTGGAGCATGGAGGGGTGAGGGTGGGGGGATGTGTCACTATGTTCCTAAATCTGTATATATTAAATGCATGAACCTTGTATAACTTAAATAAAATTTTAAAAAGTATATTTATAAAATGAGAATATTCTAAGGGAACTCCAGCACGTTGATGGTTCAAGGGAGAAAAGGGATTCTGCTGCAAATTTGCTATGTTGTGAGTTCTGTTCACATCCTGAGTACTGATCATCTTTGAAGGAGCAGACGTGAAAGAGAGGCTTAACCTTGATTCAATACGGTTTTCCCAAACTAAATTTCCAAAGAAACCCCCTTTACCTAACACTAACAGCATTCACATTTGGAAATATTTCTAGATCACTAAGGTTGCAGAAGGTAAAATAACTGTAACAGTTTTAATTTCCTGCTACTTTAATAATGTTTGCAGATTATCAGGGGTGTAATGGTTATATTCATCCCTGAAAATTTACCTTGATGTTTTTTATGTATTGAGTGATAGGGAAGCTCTTATGTTCATTACACTTATTATGAGTCTGGTGTGAGTCTGGGAAGATATGCCCTCAGGGGATAGGAGAAAGCAAGCTAATTCATTCACAACAATTTAATATGTGCTCCTTGACATATGGGGTAGTATGCTTTTGTTGAGCAGTTCAGGTTTCAGATGCAAGCAAGAAAAAGTGAGTTGGCTGGATAGTCACAGGAAATAGCTAGGAAGTTGGTCATTCAGTATGATGTGATTATTTAATTCATTGATTCAGCCTGGTGAATTTAGTAAACATTTCTGCTGAGAAAAGAGGTTTCCACTCCCTCAAGATCAAATTGGCTACGGAAAATTATAAGATATTACGGCTTTCCCAATTATCTTTTAATGGTTCATTTTCTTCTAATTTAGGTCTATTAAGTTTTCAGAAGGACAGTTAACTTTTTTTTAAATGTAAAGTTTATTTAAAGCCTTTTACATCTTAGTGATTCAATACTGAAAGTAAGTTTTAAAATTTTTTCTTTTGTACATAATCCTATCTGTAGCCATCTGACTGCTTACCTACAGAATTTTGCCCTGTATCTAAAAATACTTAGTATTCATAGATTTATTTACATCATGAATACTTAAATTGGATTCATACTTGTATAAATATCTTTTAAATGTTTTATGTAGGTTTATAAAATATACAGGCACATGCAGTATTTCTTTAATTTTTTTAAATTCAGATTTCCATAGGAAAAACACACTTGTAAGAGAATGGCACCACTATGAAAAAGTCAGGGGTGATTCTTGACTAATTTCTAGCAACATTTAGCGTGAGATATTTTTAATCTTTTAGAAAGAGAAAGGTTTTATGATTAGTAGGAATTAAATAACTGACCACTTTGCCTGTAAACAATTTTGCTTGTCTCTCTCCATGTGTGCATTCAGGCATCACACTTAAAAATCACACTGGAGATTCATTTGAGCATTAAATTGGAGGAAAGTTAATATGAATCAAAAATAATCAAATTGTATTAATTTAAATTTCAGCCAGTGACTCTTAAATATTTCCATTATTAACAGAAAGAAAATTAGAAGTGTGGTTTCTAATTGAGATTTTCATGATATAAATGCACAAATGGGTCATTTTCTTATTCAAACCAGAGTAAATATTCATGTATACATTACTTTATTTAACATAGTAAAAGCACAGTCATGAAAGCACTCTTCTCTGTGACAAAAGATGTCTGTATTTCTAAAGCAGAATTAAAAGCCAGTTGCTGTTTTATAGCTTATGAATTACATGGAGTAAGGGAAAGTTACGGGATTTTTTTTTTTTGAATGAAGATAAATTAGCTTTTAGTTCACCAAATCTTTGAGAATGACATTTTTTCTCAATGCTCACCAAACAATTCTCCCCCATTGTTTTCCATTTTTCCTTCTCTCTAAATTTCTGCATCCGTCTGTCTCATTTCCTAATGTAGTTAAATTTAAACCCCACACATTATATTTAAAGTTTTCCATCCCTTAAGTGGGGAGCACCGCTGGTGATTAGGACAATGGCAGTGGTCTCTGTAGACTCACCATACACCAAATGAAGTTCAGCAACATCATCAATGGAATGAGGTGAAAGATACATGATTATACACAGAAGTCTAAATAGGACAACTTCCTTTTTATTTTAAAGATTCATTTATTTATTTGAAAGGCTGAGTCACAGAGAGGCAGAGGCAGAGAGAAAGAGAGAGAGAGAGAGAGAGACAGAGAGAGAGAGAGAGAGAGAAGTTCTCCATCCATTGGTTCACTCTCCAGGCAGACAAAATATCTGCAGCTGCACCAATCCAAAGCCAGGAGCCAGGAATTTCTTTCAGGTCTCCCACTTGGGTGCAGGGGCCCAAGGACTTGGGACATCTTCTGCTTTCCCAGGCCATAGCAGAGAGCTGGATTGGAAGTGGAGCAGCTGGGACTTGAACTGATGGCCATATGGGATGCTGGCACTACAGGCGGCAGCTTTACTCGCTAAGCCACAGCGCTGGCCCCAGGACAACTTCTTTAAGGATTACACAGGAGGAGATTAAGACTTTACAAGGTTGGGGATATTTCTTAGGGTGTAGCAGGTTAAGCCACCGCCTGCAGTGCCAGCATCCCATATAGGCACCGGTTTGAGTCCCGGCTGCTCCACTTCCAATCCAGCTCCCTGCTAATGCACCTGGGAAAGCAGTGGAGGATAGCCCAAGTACTTGGGTCCCTGCACCTATGTGGGAGACCCAGAAGAAACTCTTGGCTTCAGCCTTGCCCAGCACTGGTTGTTGTGACCATTGGGTAGTGAATCAGTAGAAGATTTCTCTGTGTCTCTCCTCTCTATATAACTCTGCATCTCAAATAAATAAATTAATTTTAAAAATTCACAAGGTTTCCCAAAAGAAATGAAATCAGCATTTGAAAGAGTTATCTGTACCCCATGTCTTTGGCAGCTCAATTCACAATAGCTAAGATATGGAGTCAACCAGATGTCCATCAGCTGAGGACCAGATAAAGAAATTGATACACACCCCCCCCACACACACACACACACGCACACACCCACACACTCACGCACACACACACGGTATGGAATACTATTCAGCCATAAAAAGAATGGAGCCCTATCTTTTCCAGCAAAGTGGATGCGATTGGAGACCATTATGCTTAGTGAAATAAGCCAGTCTCCAAAAGACGAAATTATATGTTTGCCCTTATTTGTGGTAACCGATTTATATGGAGTACAAAAAATGTTATGTGTATGAGTGAATTTGACATTTTGAGATTTGATTCTTGTTTATAACCCTTGTCTATATTCTTGAGGAACAGTGTTTTTTTTTTTCTGCTTCTACTTGTTGAATTTTTTATTTAGTGGAGGGTTAAGCTTGTGATTAAAAAGTAAATGGAAAGTATCTCGTTGTAAAAATTAAAAGAAAAATAAGAAAGGAAGAGGGGGAGGGGAGAATGAGGGAGGGAAGGAGCGAAGGGTGGGAAATGTAATTATGCTCTTAAAAGTGTGTATATGAAATGCATGAAATTTGTTCCCTTGAATATAAATAAAAATGATTAAAAAAGAGTTTACAAGCTGAGATCTGGTTGTGCCTTGGTTTTAATACGGAAGAAGGTGGTTACCAACTTCATATTCCTTTGCAGCTTGTCTTATCCTTACTGTTTTACTAGAAATTGCTGGAATATAGAGCCAGCAAAGTGAATTTCGCTGCTGTTTATGCCAACTTTTTCCTCTTTGGTTTATGTTCAGAGCTCTATTAGATGTGCATTTTACAGAGCAATTCTTAGAGCTTAATTTTGAAAGGAATATTGACCTAGTAAAGCAGATAGATGGACAGTCTGTCATAGAGGACCTGAATCCTCACAGGCATGTTTCTAATAGGCAAGCTGCAAATACTGTTCACCGGTCTTAAATATTTGAGAGAAATTATTTTAAAATTTATCAGGACATGTGCAGACTTAGAAATGCATATATTTAATTTCCTTAAAATAGTACTAACTTATTTCAGAAACTTATAGCTGGTACTTTGCAATCCACTCTTGCATTTTTTTCTATTTGTGTTTGCTGTAATATAAAAATATGAAATCCCAGTTCCTTATTGGACGGTCAGCGCGTCCTCATACAAAAGGTCAGTACAGGAGTAAACTTGGATTTCTGCACTGACGGTCTGAGGATAAGTTTCTTGTAGTTTAGAATTGTTCATTGCCATTTCTTGCTCCTGGCTTTGGAGATGGACAAGACGGCCTGTG